AGCTGTTAATGCTTGTGCTAATAACCTCTGTCAGAATGGAGCAGCTTGTAATGCTGTTGCTGGTTCCTGTACTGATTATACCTGTACCTGTCCAGCTTGCTTCACTGGAACATTCTGTCAAACAGGTAGAGCAATTCCTTATAGTTGTCTAACAAGATTTGGATTTTTAGGAAGGGATGGACAACGAGAAGTGGCAATTTGAAAGCATTATCATGAAAAAATACAATTCAAGTACTTCGGGCCCTACCACTCTTGAGTCTTAGTTCCATTTTGAAATATTTTTTATATTGTATGGGTAATATATATTTTTTACTTTGCATTTTTCTAAAAGAAGGCACATATTAAACCTGTTGAAAATGTATCCTCATAAAAATGGTTAGTGGTTTTAAATTTTTTGTGGAGGGCTAGCCTTAAATAGTAGAATGTTATTTTATTGTTTATAAAATGTTTGTTTTTACCTCAAAATGCTTGTGATAACAGCCTCTATCAGAATGGAGCAGCTTGTAATGTTTGGATTTATTAGGGAGTATTGGACTACGAGAAGGTTTGGCAGTAGCATTTTGAAAGCATTATCATAGAGAAACAATTCAACTACATATTATTACTATATTGATTGTCCTTTTTTCTTTTCCACAGGTGTTGGTGCTTGTGCTAATCATATCTGTCAGAATGGAGGAGCATGTAATGCTGTTGCTGGTTCCTGCACTAATTATACCTGTACCTGTCCAGCTTGCTTCAATGAAACATTTTGTCAAACAGGTAGAGCAATTCATTATCCAGTCAGCCGTAGGCAGACTGGATTCTGCTTTCTTAGCATTCTTCTTATGATTACCCAGTCAGCTGCAGGCTCAACTCGTACATCAGGCTCATGTAGACATTTTTAAAATAGACCCTAAAGTATTTTAATGTAGCCACTAATAATAATTTAAAGTCTACTTCTGTCACAAATAACATAGCACAGTCTTGTCCTTTGCATTGGCATAATGCATGGGTCTTTATGATGTTCATGAATAAAGCGTCAAACGTCATTAAAGGGTCATCTTTCTTTTTGGCAATATTATTATAACTGAATAAAAAAACTGTTGAGTTCCCTGTTTCTATATTAAACGTTACTCAAACGTGTCGAATATATACTCTGAAGCAAATACGTGGGTCTCAACAAGTGTATACTTTTTATTGTGTATCCATCCTTCGTGCGTCACAAGTGCAGCAGCATACAACTTGTAAAAGATAAGCGCAGTGTGTGCGTGTACTGTTATGAATATTTAATGAGGGTCTTGTTTACTATATTAAGACATTCACCATTTGTGTGTTGATAGATGATCCAATTGAGCTCTGATTTACCAGGAATGATCTGACTGGGTTCATGTTCTGTTATTATTTCTAGTTATATCTGTTAAACAATGTTTGGATTTTTTAGAAAGTGGCATTAATTCAACTAGGCCTACATAGTATTACTATATTGATTTGTCTGAAGGTATTAACTTTTTTTTCTTTTCCATAGCTGTTAATGCTTGTGCTAATCATCTTTGCCAGAATGGAGCAGCATGTACTGCTGTTGCTGGTTCCTGCACTGATTATACCTGTACCTGTCCAGCTTGCTTCACTGGAAGATTTTGTACAACAGGTAGAGCAATTCCTTATGTTTTTCAAACAAGTTTTGGATTTTTTTGGATAGGTGGGGGAGGGGGGTGGAGGTTAGGTTGCAAAGAGAAGTTGCGGTTTGAAAGCATTATCCTGAAGAAATAAAATTCAAGTACTAATTTTTATATTGATTTGTCTGAACGTGTAAAGTTGTTTTTTTTTTCACAGTTGTTATATGCATTTGTCAATTGTAGTCCCGGCCTCGACCCTGGAACGCGACCTAGCGGGGACTTAGCCGGGGATGTAATTTCCGAAATGGTTACATGTGAAAGTCCTGGCCACCTCCCGGCAATGCAGGACATTGTTTTAACAAACATCCACGGCTAAGTTGCCACTACTTACCGCTGTAGTCCCGATATAATGCCCCGCTAATAAATGATTGGATGATAAGACTTACTTGAAGGTCTAGCCTAGGTCTGAATCAGAGAAACACATGAGAGCTAGGCAGGAGCTAGGCCAAGGAGATGAGCTTGCTTGATGGAAGCACTATGCATGCGTATCACTAAGCAGATTTACATGTAAGTTTGAAAAAGTGCGAAAAAAAAAAGGGGTGTATCGACAGATTGATCGTAGAAAAAGAAAACAATTGATTGATTGATTTAACGTGGGGCTGAGGTGCAAAAATTGTGATATATAGACCTCGAGGTGCCCGGAAATTTCACTCTCATACCTAAAAAGTCTTACTGGTAATTTATATCAACAATAAAATCAAACAATTATTTTTCTTAATATACTTTAGAGGGTGTGATCGCAGCATCTGCACCCCCACACCACCTGCATCCACCCCAGTGCAGTACTGTACCGTATTAGTTTTCTCCCTGTATAAATGTATTTCAATGTATCATGTACAGTACTATGATAAAATATGCCGCTATCCAGTTATAAATACACGTGAAAATTTGATATTGATAATTTAGGCCTACATTACATAAACAAGCCATTATAAAATAAATTTCAATCAACAGCAGATCATGTAATGTTATGTTATTAGATAATAGGACATAAAAGGCAACTGATACAAACATAGGCTTATATACATAAGAATATATTTTACCTAAATATATATAATTGTCTTGAAGTGTGCAAAAAGATAAATATAAAAAAAAATAATAGTATATACTCTATATGCTTGTATAAAAATTACGTATTAGATAAATAAATATAATATTTAGAAAAGGCCGTCCTCTGCAAGTCGAAAATGGCATCGCAAGCAGCCCACCTTTACCTTATTACCTGTAATTTTTATTGAAAAAAACACAAAAAAAAACCCGTTACAATTCTGTAATGAAAAATACGCTAGCTGCTCGTTCTTCCTCTCTATATATACTTTGATGACACTTATCAAAACTATGAACAATAAAGCATTGATTTAACACTTGTTCAGCCAACACAATCTAGAATCCAGACGGGTTCCTGTACTCTTCACTCTTATACCTGTCCAGCATGTTACTCTGGTGCTTCCTGTATAACAGGTAGAGCACTTCTATATCCATCACACAAGGTTTGGATTTTTAAGGAAAGAGTGGTAGAAGTGACAGTTTTGACAGCATGGGCTGGTTGTTATAAAGGCCTGTTTATACTTACAATGATAACGATAACAATAAAAAGCTAAAAATCAATTGTTCATATATAAAATAAAAGAAAAAGGAGAAGTATTCACAGTAGGACGATTCGATAACGATTTATCGTGTATACGATAACAAAATATTTTGGCAAATCAATTCAAATGACGTCATAATCATGGAAGAATGATAGTCGTTGCTACTACTATTGTTTTTATTGTAGGTCTTTTAAATTCTATCTGTCTTTTGAATATTCAATATTTTACATGTTCTATTGTATGTATGTTTGATCGAAGTTTATTTAACCACTTTAAGAGTTCTCCCCAACATGGACCCTTTCCAGTTCCCCACTGAAAAACTTTAGTTAAAGACTGGAAAGAGGAAAAAGGGAGTGCACCCATGAGTTCAGTGGTGATCCAGCAGTGGGAGAAAGGAGAGCTCGATTGTTTACCACTTATTTACACCAACCCCCTTCCCCATTGGTGGGTTTTGGGGGGGGGGTGTGTCTGGGGCCCTTGGGCAAAAAGAAAAAAAAAATTCTAGACCATACCTTTTCAGGACCATTGAGCTGAATTTTTTTTTTGATACAATAAGAAAATTAGAAGTTGGGAAAGCTCTTTCCCGCCATCTAGGAATCAAAATTTTCTTGGGGGAGGACTTCCGACCCCTTTTTATATTTGGGGTTCATCGATTCATGAAAAAAAGGATATGTATGCAACGTATGTATACCGGTACACACATAATAGCCTATTTACTGTAATAAGAATGAGAAAAAAATACCTGATCGTTTTGAAGTGGGAAAACCTTGAATTTTGAAGAATTAAAAAGTCGCTAAAAGACTCTTCAGAAATCGGGAAGCTCTTTTCCTGCCATTTAGAAATCAGCATTTTCCCTTGGAGAACACAAACCCGCCTTTATCTATCTTTGGGGTTCATTGATTCATGGAATTGTTTTCAGGGTGGGGGGAACTTTGAATTTTGAAGAGGGTCAGATGAAGACGATACTAGTATTAATATTCCAAACTACATTGAAAATGAATATGCAAGTGTTGACGATTTTATATCAAAATATTCTCTAAGTAAACAATTGAAAGAAAATGCTAGTATTTGTTAATGTTTACTGTTATATAAATTATCTAATTTATCATTATATATTTACAGTACCATAATATGACATTGATTTCATGTATTAATATTATTATTTTTTTGTTATATTTATTTATTTACTAATATACTTATCTATAGAATGATTCATTAGTCAATCAGTTGCTTAATGATTAAACACTTATTTGACTAATTAATATATTGATTGATTACTGTATTTATTTTTTATTTTTTTTATCAAAAGGGCACCACATTTTAAAGCTTTATTTGCTTGTTTGTGGTTGTCCTATTCCATTTAATTTCATTTGATGCATATGAATTATTCTGTTTTTAAATGTTACTTGATTTGGAATAAATTACTTTTGAATTGAATCGAATGAATTGTTTTCAAAAAGGGGAAAACCTTGAATTTTGAAGAACTTAAAAGCGCAGAAGTTGGAAAAGCTAATTTCCCGCCATTTAGGAATCAAAATTTTCCCGAGGAGGACTCCCAGACCCCCTTCAGCATACTTTTGTGGCATGGCCTGTGAGTTAAATTATATCATGGTTAATGTAATGTTTAAATAAATCTTTTGGGGGATTGCTTACTCATTACTGCAGCTGCTAAATTCCAATTATTAAAGTACTGTACAATAATTCCCATGCAATCCACATCTTAGGTGTGAGTGCTTGTGATAATCATCGTTGCCATGTTAATGCTACCTGTCTTGCTCTTGAAGTACCTGGTACCTGTTCTAACTACCTCTGTATGTGTCCTCCATGTTACTACGGTCAATACTGTGAAACAGGTAAACTCAGCACAACAAGCTATATCAAGTATGATAAAAACATTACTCAAACATTAATAGTTTATACTGGTGTATATCTTCATTGACTTTATGAATGTCGTTTTTGCCCTACCTGACATGTTTTCGCACCAAATGCTCAGTACGTTCCTAAATAATTACTGACACCCAGATATAGCCTGGCGCCATAACCATTAGTCTGCCGAGCTGGCGCTTAGTGATTTCGTGTTCAGTCCGACTCCCAAGCAGCAGCGAGTACTACAAAGCCAAGTTTGATGCGTCACGAATCAAATGTGAATGCACTGAGCATTCAGTACGATAACACTTCCCGTATTGTAAAAACGTCATTCTTATAAAATTTCCTGATTATTATTCAAACTGATTTAGCACTTAATTCTGATCATTTTGTTTTCTTTTGGTGTTGTTTAACAAAACCTGAGAATATATAGGTCCATTACAATTATTGTTTTCTATTTCATATTTGGTTTGTTATGTTCATTTCTGCTAGAACTGGTTGATATCTGTATGCACAGCAAATGTGTAAATGGAGGAACCTGTGTTGCTGATGCTGATAATTGTATTCTTTATACTTGTGATTGTCCTCCTTGTTTCACTGGTAGTCTCTGTCAAGTTGGTGAGCTATCTTGATTTTCATGGACAATACTCTTTATATATATTATGACTGCTTTCTGGTATAATATGTACAAAAACATTGTTGTAAATAAATATATAATATTTATATAATATATTGAAAGGTGTAAAAACATTGTTGTATCTAAATAAATTTACATTTTACAGCGGCTAGTTAGTCACGGACCACGCCATCTGACATGTAGGGGTGCAAGTGAGGGGGAAGGTATAATTCGAAAGGTGGGGGCAAAGTCCCAACGAGAGCAAAGTTGGCATGGTCAAGCATCGACTAAAATGTTTCAAAAGTGTCCAAAAAAAGAAAAAATTGACAATTGATGGGTTTCAGTGGCTTATTTAATCGGTTTTATATATATAGTTCACTACTATGTAGAAATACATGAATTTTTTTTCTCCCCAACAAATTGTGCTTTTTTTTTATGGGGGGTGGGGAGGGGAGAAGCGTCAAGAAAATTTTATGGGGCAAATACCCCTCTTTCCCCCGTAGTGTTGCCACTGAATTCAGCACAATGATGAATTAATAATAAAGATTTTTTTATTAGTTTTAGTAAAAATGAGTTAATACCAGGTCTGACTGTCATGAACTTTGTTTAATTTTTTTCGCAGCTGTTGCTGATTGTACATCAAGTTCCAACACAAACTGGCAACCTAACACTGTGGCTTTTATTATTCTCAACTGCATTTTGAAAACTTTATTTACGAATTACCATTGATATATGTATATATATCTGTATAGACTGCATTATATATAAAATACTCGGCCACAAATTAGTTGCAGCTTACTAACTTCACTGGTTTTGAGGAAATAATTAATGACCTCACTATTAGTATAAAATACTAATTCGTGTTTTTATTATTAACAATTACTACAGGATTTTTTTTTCACTCTTTTGTCACTCTATAGGCCTACTCCACTATATAACCTCCTGATTATAATATACAGTTATCACTAACTTAATTATGGTTTATTTTACATAAATAATATTATTGTAAAATTTTTGTTTTTATTATATATTTATATGTTGTTATTATTACCATATTATTATATTATTATTATTATTATTATTATTATTGTTGTTACTACTAGATTTATTGCAATTACCGTATATATTAATATAATATTATATTTATTTTTTATAGGAATTTACCAGGAATGATATGTTCCTTTGTACACTGTCAAACGTGAGAGAAACTAAAAATAATATCATGAACATAATTTCTAGTTATTATTATTTTGCCATATTATTTTATTATTTATTGTCTATATTATATTTTTATCACTTTTTAAAAATTAATTTTATAAGTTATATATTGGTGAAAATGTTCAATATTCTGTTGCAATTTTTATTATAAATGATTTAAAGAATTGTGGCAATTTTTCTATGCTATATTTCCATATTTTATTATTATTTTGCCATATTATTTTTATTGTCTATAATATTTTTATGGTTTTTATTATTAGAAATTATAATGGTGAAAATTCTTTTTAAAATTAAGTGCGCAAGTAACAAGTGAAAAGTCATAAATAATAATACGGACAATGTTTCCCTTCCTGCCGTGTTATGGTAGGCCTATACGCTCAGTATCCCAAATCCTTGTATTGCAAAAAAAAAACACGTCAGGTAGAGAAAAACATCGTTCATATTATGGTATTTGAATTAATTTGTTAACGTATAATTTGATAGGGCCTATTTGAATTTTTTTAAATACTATGCAATAAAGTTACAGTTTAACTACCGAACGTTTTACATATTTGTGTTCGCGGCTAGATTGCAGAAATTATCATCCTTATACAATCCCGAATATTGTGTGAAATCGTGATCCATGCCTACATGAAATTGATTGAAAGCTTAAAAAAGTTTAATAATTTTTTAACAAAATAATAAATTCGTAATTATAGCAGAGACGAATTAATGAAAATGTATGAATACAGAACACAAGCGTACACACTGCCATCGCATGCTAATTGTACCTAAAAATATCTAGACGTCTGTTTTTAGCATCTAGCCTACATTCCAATTTAATAGTAATAGTTCCAAGCAACTAGTACATAATTGGCCTAGGAAGGGAGTGAATTTTTCTGGCTTATTATATAGAAAGAAGCCCGAAATCGCCATTAACATGTGTGTATTTATAAATAATATTGAAACTATACTTTATTATCCATTTATTTGTCCAACAATAGTAGGCCTAGATCAAATAAAACAATGTTCCTAATATTTTGCTAACCTTCCTAAAAGTTGGTTGTTGTTGTAGTACTCATCGGGCTTAATACTAACCAGAAGATGTATAATACAGTATATTAACAATACTGAACTACACCAAAATGAAGTTCACGCCGCCACGCCCACCTCAGCCCTGCATGGCTGGTGTAAGTAATCGACCTCTCCTTTCACCCACTGCTGGATCACCACTGAACTCCACCTTTTTTTCCTCTTTCCTCTCTTTAACTAAAATTTTTCTCCCTCTTTTTTATTTTTCGGCTTGACTGACGAGGGGCACGGGCCCTAATGCCCCCCCCCCCGCTAAATCCGCCACTGAGTAGAACTAGGAAATTGTTTTAATTTAAAAATTATCGGGCTTAATACTAACCAGAAGATGTATAGCATCCAATCTAGCACTTCATACTTGTTGAGTTTGGTCAGCCTGGATCTTAAGCTCTGTCTCTGTATCAAAAGTTTTTTGACAAAATCTTGTGACATGCCTAAATATGGTCATGATGACATCGCATTATGACCATATATTGTCACGTCATGACTAACATGGGCATAAACAGTTTTTTTTTCAAAGAAAATTTGATAGTCTGGACTTGACAGGCTTTAGGTGCTCGAACCAATGAAAGGCTGTCTCTTATACACATCTAGATGTGTATAAGAGACAGGGGGTTAGGGTGGGTTCTCTAGCCGTGAGGTGTAGGGTCGAAGCCCCGATGGGGTCAGCGAAACCCCCAAAGTTGGATTGTTGGAGGACTCGTTCGGGAAATCGATGTGGGGGGGGGGTGGGTTTGTTGCCTGAACCATAACACCCCCCTCCCCCCTCAGCTACTTACCTGGTATATGGGGGAGGGTACACTTTTAGTCAAGTACATTTAGAGTGGTTGAAAAAAGACAGCCTTAAATGTAAACATTTACAATATGATCGTTATCTTCATCTTCATCATTGTAGTCATCATTATTTTTGTTTTTCTTTAAGTGCACATTTTCATTATCAGTTACACAAAAATCATTTTCTTGGTCAATATATCAAACCAATTATAGGCCTACACACATAAAGGAATAAGGCAATCACTTTGTCGGCGATAACTCAAACTCATGGAACATATTTTTCACATAAAACCGGGTAGTTTGTGGACGGATACTGTTTTAAAAAAAGGATAAATGTGGATAAAAAAGGTGAAGCCATATCCATAGAAATTGTATAATGTAGGCCTAAAGTGTACGCGTTGTATTCGTAAAATGTTACTGCAGTATTTTATGCATAAAACGATGTACTGTGAAATGAGGTTTTGTTAACAGATTGGAGCCATTTCACTATTTGATTAATGCTACCTGTAGGCCTATATATGGATCTCATCTTTTAAATGGACTCATCTTTTAAATATAAACTAAAAAATAAATAAATTTGACCTTCCTTTTAAAATTTGGACCAATCTTTTATCAATATTAATTGTAATTCTATTTGTAATTGTAATAATACTGACATTGATAATGGTAATTTACGGTAAAATATAGTACCTATATTCCATTTTAGCAGAATAAAAGGCAGTGGCGGCTCTAGGATATATTTTCTGGGTGGGTGGGGGGCCTAAGTTGTCCGACAGGGGTACGGGTTGACTAATGCTAATAATTTTCTCTGTGGCCAAAATGAATTCCCCTTAGTAACAGAAGTATCCCCTAGAAGAAGTACCGGTAACCCCTTAAAATTCAAAATTTAATTTTCATTTTTCAATTTGTCAAATTTAAGGAAGCATTTAATACACATCGCTTTGTAGGAAGTACCAACCCCAATTCACAGAAACCCAAAGGAAGAAATAAATAATCCTTTGTATAATTCAATGATTTACTATCAGTCAAAAGACAGGAAAATACCTCAAAATTCACATACTAAGTCTTTTTTCACCAATTTAAAGAGACATATACTACCGACTCATTGCAACCGATCGCAGCAGAGTGTAGTCTGACCAGAGGTTATTACTAAAATCCTTAAATTGATTGATAGAATCTAATAATCCTAATAATTTATTTTATTCTAATGAATGAGCTATTCATTTTTTTATAGATATTTTCCTATATTTTGACTGATATTACATCATTAAAAGCGAAAATGAAACTGTCAGCAGAAAGATGCTGTAACAACAATAAGCGAATTTTAAATCCAAATGAATTGGAAAAGGCAAAAAAAATTGTTAACCTATCAATAGCAGTCTGCACAGGTTAGTATTAGCCTTGAATTCCAGGTCTTAATTTTGGTTAGTAATTCTGTAATATATAATTCTTTTAATGCTATCAGTGCGCGCCATTCCAAATTTAATTGGCGTCCCATATTCTATTGTTCTCCAAATTAGCTCACTCGTTGATGGCGCTGCTCAGAATGCGGAAACGCTCGATACGCTCGAAACCGTAATTTGGTCGATCGTGGTGCAAAATGTAAACAGAAAGAGGGGCGTTCTTCATCGAGATTACGTACAAAGGAGGTTGCATAGCTTTGTTGACCTACATATCTGCATCGAAGTAAATTAGCTCTTAAAATATTTCGAGGATTTTCGGTTGTGTGTACATTAATAATACTAAATTATAGCTAACTAGGCTAGCCTAGCCGCTAGGCCTAGGCCTATCTGTAGCAGGCTCTAGGCCCCCTGGCCTGGGCCCTACCTAGGCCCTAGCTAGGCTAGTCTAGCCTAGGGCCTAGAAGTAGTAGTACAGTAGTACTAGGCCTAGCCTAGTCAGAGAGGATCTGGCTAGGCTCCCTACCCTAACTAGGGCTAGGAGTGCCTAGCTAGTAAGCATGGTCAAAGCGGCCGCGAGGCTAGGCGGCATTATTGGCTAGGCCTAGGCCCGAACTAACATTTGTTTAGCTTTTTTTAGTCCTACCAGATCCTACTGGGGACTATTAGGTTAGGCCTCTTGTAGTCTGCATAGTAACAACAGAAGATAGGCCAGGCCTATTTTATTATTATTATTAAAGAATGCACAGTCTACGTACTAAGCATCTCAGACACAAATGTCACCAGTTTCGTCCCCGTAGCCTAGCTAGGCCTAACTGAAGTAACAGTACAAAAAGAGTTCTACATTGCAGCTGACCTTGTTTGCGGGCAAAATGGTCCTACACTGCTAGGCGTAGGCAACAAGGCTAAAATTATAGCAGAGGCTAGGTCTCTGTTCTCTTCAGTACCTACACGCGAGAAAGGAAGTACTGGTGGTCGTTTCAAACCCACCTGGTAAAGCTTTATTACTAATAACGGTGCCTTTTTGTACTTTGTACCTCACCTCCCTGCTTCTACAATGTGTTCAATCTGATCAAAATGTTATATGAAGCAATCTTTCATATCTTCATTTATTTCTTTCTAGGATGGATTATTCTGGTATCTCCTGGTCAACTCTTCCAGAGCATATTCTAGTCACAATCTTTTCCTATCTACCAATCAGCGATCGATTTCATGCTGCAGTTGTCTGCAAGGGTTGGCAAGACTCTTTCAATTCTCCTTACCTCTGGCATTCATTCAAGTTCTCATTCATTCAGCCGTCAGATTCAATTCAACTGAAATTCTTGGAGAAATACGGAAGACATCTAAGACATGTTGAGATATCCTGCGACCAGACACAACAAGAGAACTGTAGCCAATCATGTCAAGTTCTTACTCATTTAGCTCGAACCAATGAAAGGAGACTTGAATCTATCGCTGTCCACTTTATCAAAGAAAATCCATTATTTTTTCGAGGAGATCTGTTTCTATGTAGTCTGGCAGAATTATTTGGACCTACTGATCCAAAGACAGATGTTGTAAATACACTTAAATCAGTGATCCTAGCGCGACTAGCTGTGACTTTTGAAGATGTTCTTTTAAATCTATTAGCAGATAATCACAGCACCATCCACACACTCAACATACAAAATGTCTCACTCACGTGTTCAATTTCTTCACATTGCATGTTGAACTTTGTTGAGAAATGCCGTCAATTGCAAAGGCTCAGCTGCCACTACAAAAGCCTCTCAAAAGATGTGTTTGAAGCTCTTGCAACACCCAAACGAAAACCATTAAAATTCCTCTCAATCGCGTGCACACGCGAGAATAAGTACCACATGGAAATTCCAGAAAGTTCTTGGGAATCTCTAGTGCAGGTGTCACCGGATCTTGTTGTCAATATGAAATTTGATCACACAATCGAGAAACATCGCATTAGAAGAATTCTGTGTTATGTGATTCCATTGACTCAGTTGTCAATGACAACAATGACGGAACTTCATGAAGAGGTTCAGTTGGCTGCTGATTTCTTCCATGCGACACTGGAGAAGCTTGTAATCACAACCAAAGGAAGTCCAGATCTGAAGAGGGAGCTGTTAAGGCTTGTTTCCATGTCATCAAATTTAAAGGTACTGGTCAGTCAATCAATCAACTAAATGCTTATTTAGTCTTTTTAACTTTACTAACAAGTTAACTGGCCATTTTAATACTTTTTATCTGTTATTTTTGTTTTTATTAGTCTAATTATTGTTCGTTAATAATATGTTATTTCTTTTATCATATTTTTTTTTATTATCTTCAAAGAAATGTGTAAATATAAAAATGATCAATAATATTTTAATTATTTCAAGCAGTACTTCTCTTGAGGCATAAGTTATATCTGTGAGAAAACCCCTGGAATTTATTGGATCTGCAGTTTTTTGTTTAAATCTCATATCTTTACCACCTCCTCATTGAAAAAATGATCAAATATCTGAACTATTGCAATTATATATTTTTTATTTATAATTCAGGTGCTCCATTGCTTCTGTGCCCTTGACCCTGAAACAATTTCCCGAATTCAAGTGCTCCGGCCACAATTAACTGATACCATTTTAAGGACAGCTGAGGAGTTTGAAGAGGAAGGAAGGACGTTGATTGGACGGGAGGCTACTAGCTCTATCATAATGGGCCCCTGAGTTGAACCTCAGTAATTTGTAAACATTAAACATTCATCAGTCCAATTACTGTTGACATCACCACAACGACAACAAAGGCTCACATTTTTACCGCAAGCACTCATTTTTTTTGTATTTTTTAATGAGTGCAAATAAAAAAAATTACTAGTTTCTTGTCCCATCCATTTTCTCTGCTTCACCACCAAAATGGGGATATGTATGGTATGAATCATGTCTGCCTTCAATGTGTCTACTTGGAAAAAGTAGTACAGTAGTTGTTTCCCATCGACCATCTTGGGGAAAAAAGTGCTCTCATTCTTTTTTTCTTTTTTTTCAAAATAGTAGGATAAGAAACTACTTTTTTTTTTTACGTGGCCTTTTGGTGAAATTAATTTACTTTTAATTTTTTTCTCACCCTCCTGAAGATGCCATATCAGTTGTGATTTAATTGATCACAGTTGTTTTATTTGAAACAGTTTTCAAATAGTGCTAATTGATTTTTGCACACTTTTTAAGTTTTTAAAACTACATCCAACATGGCCACTGATAATGTTAACACAATCTGTACTTTTTTTTTATTCCTATGCAATAAGAATTCTTAGTAATTACAGTGGTGGGTGTATTACCTATGTTGTGAGATGCTGAGCTTTACTGTAAAAAATTTATTTTTGTGAAATTTTTTATTGTGAATGATTGCATTGTTGCAATCAGATGAATTTTCATATGCTCGCAAAATTTAACTTGAATATGAGATGCATTGTTAAAACCAAAATGATATTTCAATAGATTTACTATGTTTGAATTTGTTAAAATATAGAGCTCAGTTGCTGGTGTACTGTGCTGAAAACTGTGAATTTAGAGTGTAAATGTGCTAAAAACAAGAAGCAGAATACCAAAGCGTACTTGAATATCAATCTGAAATTATACATAAATTAAGTTTATTGGAGTAACAACACTCCCAAACAAAGTGCCTTACAATTGAAAAAAAAATTCCATCTAAACTACCTTCCACGACACCAATCATGTAACAGAACATGTCTCTAACTGATGCTTTACAAAAAGATGTATTTAACCCACAGTTTATATTATTTATAGAATGTATTGAAAAACAAAATTATCAAAAAGGATTTTTGTTTGTAGTGTTGTGTTGAATGATTGAATTGAATGAAGCACCATTGATACTACAATTAGTGGCAATGAATATAGGAAATACAATATATTTATAATGGTAATATTTGTTATATTATGTAGAAGGAATGTCATTTTAACATTAGTGTTTTTGAGGTTTATCAAGAATCAAAAGCCAATATGTATTCAGGAAAAATGAGTTCACACTAGTTTAATGTAAAAAATATTTGCCCATATATGGGCATGGTGATTTCATATACCCATATATGGGCAAGTCACAGGTATGTGTCACATATTTTACTTATTTATTTAATAGTGCCTTTTCAGATACAAAACACTCCATCATGCACAATGTGCAACCTCCTCCACTCACTGGAGTGTACCCTTCCAACTTCATATGATTCCAAATCATTCATCTTCTACCAGGACCGGATTTATCAATCTCAGCTTAGCAAATGTCTGAAGTCAAAAAAGTTAAGATGTCCCTAATAAATATCTTAAGCTGATTTATTAAACCATGTTAGCAAAACCTTGGCTTAAAAATCGTCTTAGATGGCACTTCCGTACAATTGACTTCCTAATTTTAAGCAGTTTTTAAAGTAAGCAATATTGATAAATTTGACTTAAGCAAAAAAATGGACTTAAGACAAATTTAAGCTGATTTTTAGTTTGATAAGTCTGGCCCCAGGTACCCATTTGTGCTCCAGAGTAAAGAGAGGTAAGCATACTGTAATATAAAGTGTCTTTCCAAAAGGCCAACTCAGACAGCGTCGTACACAAAGAGTTTGATGAGCAAAGGTCTTGAACCCATGACCTCTTGTTTAAAAGCCAATTTCTGCATAACTTAATACTGTGTACAGAGCATTAGTTAGCATTGCCGCATGTGAGCTACGGTCAGTGGCGTATCTTGGAGTTTTGAAATGGGGGTGCTGATGTGGGCCCGAAGGTGAAGTGTGGGGGTGCTCGATGACCAGTTGAGGGGCTCAATTCGCAAAATAATGTGATTTTGAACTACTTTACCATGATTTTTTTGGGGGGTGGGGGGAGACTAGGTGTGCGAGTAATTTTTTGGGGACGTGTGTTCCCCCCTTTACGCACTCCCTTAGATACGTCACTGGCTACGGTACCTATGATGTGATTTGTTCCACATGATGTAACTATATATGGGCATGAATGAACTGCAATGTAGACATAGTGAACTGCATGTTTTATAGTTGATTAAACCTCCTTTTAGTGCAAAGTTACTTATATGGAATATAGTATAATTTAGTGCAATCAAAACATCCATATTGTTCAATGATTTTTGTACCTCTTTTATATACATGGTGAGTTAAAACAGTTAATAATTAGAAAGATTATATATTTATATGTGATTTTAAAAAATGGTTTTTTGTAGTCCTACTTGTATAGCTATAATTTACATAATGATACTATGCAAAGCTTTATTACACTACAATATACGTAACATGTGTTCCACCTACCGAGATGGTAGGTTTTTATTTATTAGAAAATAGACCACAATACATTTTATATACCCACAAGGTTAGTCTTATGTAAAATTTAATGAGTACAGGAGACTATGTAAAGAACACTTCTGCCACAGAAGTTTTCGTACTAAAAAAGAAGTTCATCAAATCTATTTGACGTCATTAATCAATATCACTATGCTACGTCCAAGCTTTACCATTATATGGAATTGTTAAAAATGGTTTAATGAGATTTAGATAAAAACTGATTTATTTTGGTCTCTTTCTCGGAAAGTTGATAACTGATAATTTTTTTTTCACATGCGCAATTCCATGTTATATTTGAATTTTTAAGTATTGTTTTCGGATAGGTTGTTTTTAGGTGATAGTAGAGCATGATGAGAAAGCGAGAAACGTATGTACAATAATTAGCTCAGTCATGTCATAGCATTTATAGTTTCCCTCAAAATAATATCAGAATAAATTTGGAATGTTCACTCTGTTGTGTGTCAGTGTAAATTAAATTACGTATATGGAACGCCAAATGGACTTGACTTTGTGGTTTGTCATTTTGGCGTTCCATATACTTATACTTGAAGTACTGTAGCTTTGCAACGTTTATGTGTCGTGTCTTGAAGTTACATACTGACATCGCCTGGTCGCATGACAATGCAAACTTTATCAGTAGTCTGGTTTATAATCTGGAGCTCTTGAGCGTTTATTGCTGTCCTTCCATTTTATCCACGCGTAATATGTGCCGCCTCCATAAGTTACCATAGCAATGAACCCAAAAACCTGTTGATAAACATAAAACCTTTCAAATAGGCGTTTAAAAATGGTTTATTCAATCGATGGTTTTAGTTATTTATTTACTCAAATTCAGCTCAACATGAAATAAACAAATGAAAGCTAGGTGGAGGAAATCAGGCAAATGTAGGCCTACATTTTCCAGTTCATTCACCTGAACATAAAAAACAAAGCAAAATATAACATTAGAGTAAAAGTAAATAAAATATATATAAATTGTACGCATTAATTTAATTATAAAATTTACAAAGTGAATATCTTTGTACTGGAATATCAGGGAGGTTTCGAAATCTTACAAAAACTAAATCAATACGGCTACGTCATCAGATGCTTAGTTAATTCATTTCCTACAGTAGCATATTTGTCACAACGTAGGCCTAGGTCATCCATGCCTTTTACACGCTCGTGTATGTATTGTCAAGAATGTTTTCGGCAAAAATGACGATAATGAAAGATGACGTATTCGTTATCGTTTTCGTAATGAGGGTTTGAAAGGGAGAGACCGACAATAATTGAAATACGAAAGGACAGATGGACGGAGGATGTAGAGCCATTGAGGAGAGCATGCGCACGTGAGTTGTAAGCTAACATCAAAGTCTACAAAGTGTCACATTCAATGGGGCTATGACATATATATTAGTCTTACTCACCCCTGCAACTATCATCAGTGGCTTCAACGGACTGATAATAAC